AAAACTTTTAACTGACTTTCATTTTTTTGTTTCTCACAAAATTATTGAAAAAAACTTGAAATCGCAAGCTTTTGTTATATATCTTTTCCTTTTATAATAGCACCATTAGCATCCTACTCCCAAGGCGTCTAGGAAAGAAAAATTAAATGCGTCAGCTCATCACTAACGTCGGAAAATTGTGAACTTGCACTACAAGTCGTAATAAAAAGACTTCTAAGAACTAAGAACAGGAAACTGATTTTGATTTTTTAATAAGTCATGCTATCAAACGCTTTTAGAACGTACGGAGCAGGGGATAGGATCAGAATTTTCTTACTGATACGAAATGTCTGATAAAATTTAACTTAAGCAGCAATACTTTCTCTGACAAGTTTTGAAGGAACTGGTAAGAAACCTTGACCTTGACATGTTTGCTTGAAAGTTCTTCCCCGACATTCTTACCTCAGCTTAATAGTATTTTATTTTTTTTCAATTTATTCTTAAAACAACGCAACAAAAACAGAAAACCAAACCAAAAACCACGCTCAGCCCACGGAGGGAAATTGTCGCTATTCTCCTTTTCTGTTAGTAATTGCGTATCATCATTGATAATACGAGATATTGCATCTAATATAAGCGTTTGCAAAAGCTTTGATTTGAAGTAGAAGCACAGGCATAATGCTTATCGATTGGCCATTCATAAGCCACTAATCTGCGGTCACTGCATGCTCCTTTCTCTATCCCTCCTACTTTCTGGGTGTAATCGTGTTGTACGTGCAGGAGGCATCCCTTGAGTGATGGGCCATATTATATAGTATGAATCTAGTATCCAATGGAACATAGAACGGCCGAAATGATTGGGTTTTTTGAATAATGTATGGGGAAAGAAATTAATTAAGCCTATCTTCTGTATATATGTTTATTTTCTTCAGCGATACATGCCGTAACCCGGTCTACTGTGCCTACACCTTGAGCTATGCAATGATAGATATGAAAGCTTTGCCATCTGACAGTATCATAGCTCTCTCGCTGGGTTTTTCTTCTCGCGGTCGTTGTCATAAATAAAATTTTTAAATATGCATTTCGTTTACGCTATAGATACACTAACTTTTTCAATTTCTTTGTAACATCTGAAAAATCCTATACAAATTGAAGGTCGAAAGAAATAATAATTCTCTTGCGTTGATTTAGACATATTCCAACCTACAGAAGTTAAACCCTGAGACTGGCACTCAGGAACTGAAAAATGTTTTTAACAGATATTTATCTATAATTTTGTGGAAATATTGAACAGAATCATGGAGAACGGAGAACGGTGCGTAGGCAATCTTCCACTTAAACAAAAATGGAACATTTCGGCGCATACACCTTGATGATAGGTATTCAAAATTCGCTCAGGAGCCAGCATACATACATATTGCTCGTTATCTAAACAAAAAAAAATGTACGTTCTTTTTTCTATAATCTCCTAAACCTGTTATTTGTGAAAACAACAAAATTGTTATCTGCACAATCTTTAGTAGCTTAGAAAGTCATGTTTAGCTTAGAGCGAACTTCGAACGACTATCCGTTAGATGTTTGTGTCAATTTTTTATCAAAATCTTTGCAGGAAAACACACTTCTCTGCAAGATATTGATGATTATCGCTGCGAGATTATCACTGGCATTGCTTTTAAATATAACTCAATTAATTTACAATCATCCAAACATCAGGACAATCGCAGAAAATAGTTAACAAGGCTTTGATTATTGTTTTTTTTTATTTTTATTTTGAATTCCCCTTAGCATAATATTCGTTCAATTATCGAGCATTTACTCGATTATAAGCATAAGTTTTATATCCCATCGTCAGTAATCATGCATTTCTCATCATCATCATCACTCATACTAATCAGTGCAAAATAAACATTTTTCAACGAATTTGTTTTTCTAAATAACAAGAATAGAAGAAAATCTCGATGTTGCAAATGGCTTAACAAACTTTGAGGAACCTAAACGTGAATCAGAATAGCTCGTGTGTTATTTCATTTTCCTTTGGTTTTGTTTTGTTTTTGTTCGTTTTTATGAACTATTGCTGTTTATTTTAATCATTTTTGAGAAACCGTGAATAAGAATAAATTACGATATTTTTTTCTTTTAAACAATTTTATGGAATCTTTCTACAGTTTACTTTAATATAAACTTTGTTAAGTGATGTAAGCGTGAGAGCTTTCTCGTCAAGAAATAATTTTTTTACTCTTATTGAGTAAGTACTTTTAATAACTTCGCAAGGCGAATCATATCTACGGGTTCTCGTAACGAATTGTCAACTTTCCCATATCGATGAAATGTGCAATTAAACAACTTCCGTATGCGTAGAGAGAGAGAGAAAAGCTATGATTAATATTAAACAGTGTACGCTAACTACGTCTGTATACGTATGATGACGACGCACTTTTGCACTTTTTAATATAGCGTAGTCCTTTGCATACAAATATGGAAATGATCGGCGACATTATTAATGGAGTTCTCAATCGTATTTTGATACATTTCATTAACGACATTTTTGCAACATTTTGTATTTAGTGTCTTATGTTTATGCAGAGGGATACTTTGGCCGAGTTTCGCGGTGATAGGCCCAGGACACAGTAATGAAATTAGTTTTTTCTGATAGGTTTTAGCCTCTTTTTAAAACATATCAATAATCTGCACTTGAAGAAATTCGTTCCAAATTTTTACAATTAATTTAGTACGTTATATATATGGAGAGGGCATATTTGGAACAAGTTTGGCGGTGATGATCATAGTAATGGAATTGGAGTTTTCTAGTACGTTTCAGCATTTTTCACGGCATATCAAAAATCTGTAGTCACGTAGTGTCTCTGCAAATTATCGAAACTCGATGTGGACATTGTATTTTTCCCGCATTTGTATTGTAATTTTGTATGAGAATTAGTGGCAATAACTTAGCTTTTTTGGTTTTGTGATCGTAATTAAAGGCTTAGTTTGTTTTATATGTGCATTGTTTATTGTTAATATTGTTTAATTTTAGTACATATTTTATCGATAAATCGTAACTTAGCAACGAGCTAGCGAGCACATAACCCTTCAAATGTGAGTTTTCTAAGCGAGCCATCTTCACGACGGTAATCGAAGAATGTTTACCACTGATACTATACTATACAGTTGGGTAGACGGCCAGATGGACAAACGGTAAGACAGGCATGCTTGGGTGGATTCCGAATTTAAAAGCGATCAAAAATTTATATAGTTTATGAGAGTTATAAAGGTTTTGAAAAAAAAATTAAGCACTATAAAATTGAATAGAGAAACAAGAACTGCCAATATTTCTGCCAAATTTGAAGTTAATTGCTTAATTTTTGCAGCCAGGAGAATGTTTGCAGCAGGCATCACGAAGACGGACAGACGGACATGCTTAAATCGGTTTAGAATTTTACCCTGATCAAGAATATATATACTTTGTGGGGTCTATGATGTTTCGCTTTGAGCGTTGCAAACGTTTTCACAACACGAATACATCCCTGATCGTCTGGTGATGGGTATAAAAATGTAGTGGCACAAACGACGTTCACTTCTTCGCACTTTGACATACACTGAATGGTAACTTGTAAACAAGTGTAACTGATAACGTGCAAACACCAATGTCCAAGGTATCTATACCTAAAATTTCGAAAGAAATAAATCAATCAGTGCGGCCCGAAGCGTTTGCCTCACTTATGTTATATTTGAAATAATTTACTTTACCTAGGACAATACATGACAAGAATTTTTATGGCCCGTGAATAATATATGGTTTTTTCCACCAAAGAGAGATTGAGACAAATGCCTGAAAATTTGTCACTTTTGTTCCATTCGTTTATCGTATTATAGGATTCATGCGAGCCTCTTTTACGGTCACAATTTTTTCTGTCGCGTTAAAGGAAGCCTTCTTACATGAACACGTGTTATCGGGAGGTTGCATGTGCTATTGTTTACATTTCAAAACTGGTTGTTGCAAATTCTAATTTTTGTTTTCATAGTTAAATTGTGAAATCCTAAAAGTATGCGTAAATAAATTTCTAATCTACTTGATGTTTTGTTATCTACTTGTGAAAACATGAAGGTATACTAATTTTTCTGCTCCCTAACCCCTTTATATGTAAACATCTTTCTACGGTGGCAGAAAATGAGATAAGAGAATGAAGTTTGTAGAAAAAATGGAATAATGCGTTTCTCGTCGGTAGACGGTGGACGGTGTTGTCGCTTCACCGTTTAGCCTTATTCTACAGAAATGTAATTGTACAGAATACAAAAAGGCAAATTCAGGTAGAGGTAAAGTGATGAATAACTTTCTCTCTCTCTTTCTTTCTCTCTCGCGCTCTTTAGCCATACCTCTCTCTTAGATCGTTACTTGCAAAATTGCAAAATACACAGTTTTAAGTTTTTTGAAATGTCAACAACTATGTGGAGTGTACCGAAATATTTATGACGGATTCTCCCCCGGACAAAACCAACGAGCAGAATATGAAAAGTACACAAAAATCGTTTTGTTGTTTAAGTTGTTGGTAATTGTTGGTAATTTTTGTTATATGTATAGCTTATCAGTTGGGTGTTAAATATTTAGTAGTAGTCAGAAAAGTTATTATATTCATAGCTTTAATGATTAACTTCGTAAGCACAAGCATACGCACACAAAAGCACTCACATTAATACCATACAATATATCGTTAATAAATAATAATAAAAAAGAACATTAACAGTAGGAGCCTACAGTTTTTGTCTATATCGAACGAAAGAAAAAGGAGAATAAGAATTTTCACTTACCATTCACCTCAGATTCTCTCACTTTACTTTGTACAAGTGAGCTGTTAAGACAAACTTTGAGGAATTAAAGCTCTTGCTAGCTCGACATACAGACGACTGCAGTTTAAATGTATAAGAGATCAGAAGCAAAAACGAAGAAAAGAAAAAGCTAATGTAAATAAAAAGTTGATTAAATTTTCAAATTTATTGGAAAAATATTGTTTTCCGCTTTTGCTTAGACAACAAAATATTTGAAGTGATCGTTGAGCGGGAGACAACCATAAAACGCATAACAACAAATTACTTGGGCATTGAGAGGGTATCACAGTGATATCTAAACGCTTCGTGGGTGTGTGCATGCGTTGGTGTTTTGCAACTTTGTGTTTTTTTGATTCGGCTTGTTAATGTATAGCACTACAGCATAGAGATTAATATAAAAATGTGTCGTTGCTGTCAAATGTAAGTTGTTGTTGTTATTGTATTATTACTTTAGTAAGATTTAATTTTATGTAATTACCATAATATGAGTGTTATAATTACATGCTGTTTGTTTTTAACATCATCATTCATTCGAACAGCTGCTGGGAGGATTTTTATTGGAATTGCTTTGAGGAAAGGTTTTGCTATGACGAATCCATTGGTAAGTACTATTAATAAATTACCTATTATAATGAAACAGTTTTTCCACGAAAAACAATCAACCGCTTAACTTATGCAATATCGAGCTTTAGCAGTTGATCAGAGATCGCGCAACAATTTCTTCTAATATCACTTTAGTAACATAAAATTTTAGAAAATTGTTTGTACATGTTTTCTACTTAGTCAAAGTTACCGTTAATTTGCAAGTCGTCGTCGTCTTTTTTCAATTTCAACTATGTTTTTTTCTAAATAGGCACATACTAAGCTTTGTAGCTCGGTCTAATGTAAAAGCGCGATAGAATAACTCAAAGTTTGTCAGAAAGAACTGAAAGAATGAGAGGAGATAGGGAATGATGGCAGCCTGGGGATGTGCGTCCAATGGCTTTATTAACTGAGCGCTCACTATACCAATAACGCTGTGCAATCCACCGCTCTGAGAAAAAGGTAGTTTTGCGAAATTCGGTTTTCTCAACTCAAAGGCAAACATTCCTAAACCTATATTCCTTTAGTCAATCTTGCTTCTTAAGCTTGTAAGGAAAATCCATGTGTGAAAAAAATGGTTCATCTTTAAAATTGGAGGAAATCAAATTTTGATATTAAAATAATTATTATTCTGATTCGCCTGAGTGGCCGAGCGGACAAGGCGTCTCGACCACCAACTCTCAATAGTCGTGGGTTCAAATCTCAAGTGTCGTAAAGTTTTCAATAAAGCCGATGGCCTTAGTGCCTTAAGACTTCAGTAACAGAATTTATTTCTCTTGCTAAATTACTTACACTATTAATAATTTTATAATAATAATTTACACTTTTGCTGAAATAATCAAAACTTTGTAAAAGCAATATGCCCTTGCTTATGGGTTTCCGCAACATACTCTGCGGATATTTGAATAAGATCATTGACAGCAGTTTGAAGTTTTTCGACTTTCCATGGTGCGTCTATCTCTTCCAAGGCTCCAAAATATTTCTTCGAAAAATTCATGGAACCTTCATATTCATATTCTCGACAAGCGTATGCATGCATGACGATTTCACAAAGTCCGTTCCATTTCTCTATTTCTAACTTGTTGGTATTCCTAAACCTGAAAGTTTACTCTTTAGCGGTAATTAAAAAATAACCTCAGTTGAAATGGAAACGTTCAATATATTTATTCAATAACTTAAGATCTATATAAAGCTACAAAGAAAAAAAGAAGGTAAAAGAGAGAAAGAAAAAAGAAGCTTAGTGGAAACTTATATCAAGGCCTTACTCAATTATTTAGTAGCAGAAAACATTGTCTCAAAGATTTTCTTATTTTATTATTATTATTATTATTATGACTAATTTAGCCAGAGATTAAAATTTTAAAGCACTAATATTTAAGGCTATCGGCTTCACTGAAAACTCTGCCCCACCTGGGATTTGAATCCATATCATCATTGAATTGTTAGTCGTGAACGTTTGACGAACAAGACGAATCTAGCTTCATCACTTGCTTAAAGTGAGAAAGAAAGTGATGCAAGAAATATAACTACATGTAAGGAGCAATATACGCAAATAAGTTCAAAATTTTGGGGTTATAAAACACGTCTATAGCATGCTTTTGTCTTTCCTGCAATTGCTGGCAGAAAGGGGAAAATTGTCTCTTTGAAATTAATTAAAAATTCTTGATATGATAATTTAACGATCTTTTTAGCTAATTATAATCCCGAAGATGATGAAGATTACATTGTCTCGCAGAAGAATGGCAATATATTGGGACAGATACAATCGGCCGATAATAATAATTTGAGAGTACCTGCAATCATCTGTGATCAACCGATACGACGCAATCATTCCAGTATTTTAAGGTATAATTAATAAAATAATTTAACTGAGACATCATGTATTCATTTATTTATTTATTTTTTGCTTTTATTTGAGTCTATATATTAATTCCATTTTTTTCCCGTTGTATATTCACAACTCATTAACACAGTAATGCTAAAATTCATGAAGAAGATTATCGCCGTGAGACACAAACAAATATGCCAATGCTGGGACCTGAAATACTGGCTGTTTTCGCCAACTCCCAAATATTTCAAGATCATCAGCCAACGAAACTGACGCGGATTAGTACAACAAAATCGAACATGATCGGCATACATTCGCCAAAAAGCGAACAACAAGATCGCCTAATGAGACGACTGGAAGGTAATGTTGAGTCGACAGCCTTCCTAAACAAAACACAAAATTCATCTTTCACGAGTAGCAACGGAGGCAGCAGTTGCAATGATAGCACAGCGTACAATAATAATAATGTGCCGCAGACTAAAGTCAAATTTTATTTAGGTTGAAAAGTATTTCGCTTTTTTTTGTTTTCGTATTGTTTATAGATATTATTTGCTTATTTATTTATAACTTCGATTTCCGGTTCGAGAAAAGTAAAAAAAGTACCGATTTTCATTGAGTGCTTCCTATCCGGAATATATATTTGTACATATTTGTAGATACTTGTAGAGTAAGATAAACCATGCAGGGATACTCAACTATGCTAGCGATAATTAGCTTTGATCATTATATCCTGTGATTTTTACACCGCGAACGGATAAAGATCTACGTAATAATTGTAATGTTTTAATGTCTTATAAAGAAGTTTTTAATTTACCTCAAGAGAGTTCTTCGTTTAATTGTTTTCCTTTGTCTGTCTGTCATCGGTATTTCGCAGATCTCATACAGAATGCTAGAAAACTAAACGTTTAATCGAATCCTTAGGTTAAATGTGATTCGCATATGAGAAAGCCGGAAAAAATGAATATTAAACATCAATATTTGCTTGCGATCTATAGAGAGCCTAATGAACACCTGCTCGAATTATTCGATATATTCAGATTGATTCAAGTACGGCTTTGTTCCGAGTAGGCAAAGGATCTCGCCTAACAACACACTGGTCGTGGGTTCAAATACCAAGGGGCATAGGATTTTCAATAAAGCCGGTATTCCTAGGAACTAGTTCCTTGAGACTCTAATCTTAGAATTTATTTCTCTTCCTAAATTAATTATAATAATAATAATAATAGCCGCTTGTTAAAATGCTCTGAGTTTCTTCACTCATGTCCAAAATTTCGATTGATAAAACCTTTCATATATAGTATACAAAAATGCTATATATCGTCTTGGGAAACTTGTCGATGAAAATAGTAAGTGTGCATAACTAATTATTAATACGTACTTTATGGGTTTAAAACTCATTTCTAAAATATTTCAACTCAAAAAAATATAAAACTCAAATCATTACACCTTACAAAAATTGTGGTGCAGGGGTACATTGAGTTTGTGCGGATGTACACAACACTTAGAAGGGCTTGACGCAGACATATTTTTTGTTCAGAATCATTTTCTGAATTGATCTAAGCTTTTCTGTCCATCCCCGCTTTCTTGCCTTCAAATTGAAGGCCACAATTTCTGAGATAGGTGAACGCCGTTGGAAATGGGAATTGAGATCGAACCACTTTTCCGACTACTTCCTCTATATAAGGCCGTATATTAAAAAGTCAGTATATGTATAACTGTAGGGGGATGAAGGTTTTTAATGGTCAGTCATGCCATACTATAGTGTTTTTGCTTGCTTTCAATATAACTCCAATGTATTTTTCAAAAGAAGAAGAAGAAAAGGAATGGGAAGCATATAAGGTATGGAGACTTTGCAGTGAACCTCATATGCCTCTCATCTCGAATGATTACTGAAAATATTTGCCGTATTCTTCTGATATGTCAGTTGATCTATCAATAATTAGAAGATTTTCAAATTATGCCAGATATGTTTTTTTTCAATTCCCCGCAGTTTTTTTTGAATATGAGTATTCTGGATTTTTTAACCAATGTGACTCTGCTGCAGAGGTACGCAATTGCTTTAAGAATACTATTGTGTTTAAACTATAGTAAGACCTTTTCATTTGTGTTGTCTATCCAACACAATTAGGTTTCTCTTTCTTACGTTCCGGTAATTTACCAGACATCTACGCACAATTCGATGAAAATAATTTCAGTTTTTGCAGTAGTGGTAATAAGACAGGTTTTTTTTCTCTCACCTGAAAAAGCTCACTTCCGATTTTTAAATTGAGTGAAAAAGTTTAGGAAACGATGCCCGAATTTTACTTCATGTACGTGGAAAAGTTCAATAAAACATATTCCAACTTTAATTTTGTTATGGAATTCGGTTTACAAAATATTGAAAGAAGCTTTTTGTGCCAATGCACTGTCCATTGTTTTAATTGGAATAACTTGTTTAAAGGAGACGACCCACATCCACCCAGGCTGACTCGATTAAAGAGATAAAATCGAATCGATAATTGTGTTTGTGCACTGGATACTGGTAGATGGAAAAGTCGTCCAATTGTTTGGTCATAGCCGCACATCCGTAGGCTTTCAAGGAATTGAGATTACATCTAGAATTTTAAAAGAGACATCGATAAGTTGACTGATATCGACATGCCTTATTAAAATATATCTTACAAATTATATGTTTCTAAATACTTTCCAACCTGACTATGCTCGTTGATGGTCGCAACTACGTCTATATCAGTCGAGATGAGCTAAAATAAAATCGGTTTTTTATTGTCTCCTCTGCAATATCTAAATTCCTTTAGAAGCTAGCATTTACATGTCTGATTGACCTGCAGCGATCGGCCTAGTTTCCCCACATGTTTAATTTGCGATACTTTTTAATTCCGACCGATAAAGCATTGTTAACCATTATTCGCTTTCATCACTTCATCACACCCGCGTCTTGAATATTTCGTTGTTAAGAAACATTTGTACGCTATTTTTATATGCATTAATCTTGTAAAATATGTTATTTCTGTGGCAATATAGTAATAATATTCCGCAAAAAATTGGAATCGCCGTTCAAGGCCTATGGGACACATGAAATTCAAAACCAATGTATTAAAAAATATGCTCAGTAGTAGTAGCAAGTATGAAAAAGAAATTTAATTCAATACGAAGCATTGCGAAAATACTTAACTCTATTTTAATTAAAGGACAATAAAATACGTTTTTCGAGCACTTCTCTTATACAATACAAGAAAACAAGGGAAAATTTGTATTCATTGTGTGTCAACAAGTCTGTGGGACCTTTTTTTAATACTGACTTTCTAAGAAATATTTCTACCCTGGATTAGTTTGATAGGACCACTTTTCAATTTCTGCAGTCGTGAATGTGTTACCAATATGAAGACCGGACGGATGGACAGAGCTAAGTCAAACTAAAATATATATATCTTATATGGCATGTTATCCGTATTTCTGAATGTTACGAATGCTATAACAATTCTAGTGTGTTCCGGCCCTGGAGTGATGGATGTAAGCAGCGAGACTTAAATGCGTTTATTTAGAGAAAGACTGTAAAATATATTATCAAAGAATAGAGGAGAAAGCAAAAAACAAGCGCAATACCAAAAGATAACATTGCATATGATAAGGGAAAAAATTCGAAATATTTTCTTATACTAAGCGTATAGGCAAACCGTCTATACACTACATAATTCCACCTCTTCCCAATTTTTATATATGACATCATTATTTAGACGTCATTCTTCAGGTGTTAGCATTCAAGATATTCCACCACCATGTGGTACGTAAGTAATTGAACGTTCGCAATGTATACGAAATACGAATATGCGAAATAATCCTAATGGGAGTTCAGAGTAAACATATGTCTGTATGAAATTTTAATATTTTCCAACATTGTTCAGCTATAGTCGCTATTCTTCTTATGGATCACGCACAAATCAAAATTCGATCGATTATATTCGCTCAAGTTTCAGGTTTCCGTCCCAAACCTATAATGTTGTGAACACCACATGTAATTGTACCTATGGACATATTTATATCGTCTTAAATTCCCAAGCTAGGCGCTTGCATTGTCTGCATTAAACATGACAAAAGCATTAGCGTGCGCTGAAAGGTAACAAATAAGAAATTTATATTCGGCTATAAGCGAATCTCTTACCATCTTTCTCGTAACAAATACGAAAATTGCTGTTCGACTGTAACCGAACTTTTTACACCTGCTACCTCGATTTTAACAAAAAGTACAAAAGAAATGAAAAAATGAAAAACAAAAAGTAAAAGGAAAAATCATACACATTTTAAGTGGCTAACAGCATTACGGAAAGTTTTCTTGTGTGTCTGCTGCACTGAAAGTTGAAATGTCAAATTTGAAATCGCTCTCTTGATTTTTACGGCCAGGCTTATTTTTATCGCAGGTGGACAGATGGACATGCTTAAATCGATTCGGGAATTGATATTGATTATGAATATATATGAATTGTGGGGCCTCTGAAGCTTCTTTCTATGTGTTGCAAACATTTGGACAAAATGAATATGTTCACTTTCGCATTCTTCGGTGGTGGGTACGAACACATTACGCTCGAAACTCAGCAACAGCCTTCTTTAGCATATCTAACAACCTTTTGATCTACGGCTGAAGAGATCATTAAGTGTGCCAAACCTGATTAAATATCCCTGTTGTGCCTATTACAACCGGATCAGGAAATTTATCATATTGTTGTGATTGTGATGCTAGAGGTATCACTGCATTTATTGTCTTTGTACATATTTATTAGTAGATAAGCCTACACATACGTTTATTACGTTGAGTTACACGGCATCTTGCACAGATTGCGAACAAGAGATTAAAAAGCAAAAAAATTAATATTTAGCTGCGACCGAATTTTTCACACCCACCACTACTCTGGCTTAAATATCTTGCAAAAAAACAAACGGGAAAACTATATTTCCAGACTTTATAATATTACGTGTGTGTGGTTTTTACCGTGTGTCTGTTGCGATTTATCAATCAGCAGTAGATGTATCGATCAGCGTAATCAACGAAAACCCCACAAGCAGAGGTTTTTTCAGCTTAGTTTGTCTTTGGACAAAAATAGAAATATTTTCTAGGGTCTCTGAACTTTTCTTCCAGGTGTTGCAAACGTGTTGATAAAATGAATGCATCCACATTCTTCGCCAGAAACATTAAATTAATTAACATTCCGAAGTGATAGCTGTCAGATAAATAACAGTTTAACCGAAGCGCAAAGGCGATGATCTCATATTACCCTACGTTGCTTTAAAAGACGTACAAGGAGTGTTTTGAATTTTGTACATCCGCTTTACGAGCAGATAGGGTGACAAATAAAACTTATAAGTTACATAAGCTTTTCGTATAATATTTTTAAGTAAGCGTCGTAATGTTCACCTCCACCCTGTGAAACTCATTTCTACTAAAGACGAGTACGCGGCAAGTCCCGCTCCTACAGGGAGCGGGATCTCTTAAATTTAATTATTTTTCTACTTCTGATTCTTGGAAATCGTGTTTCTCTAAGGTTACGACGTGATATTCATTTATTATGCTCCACACCACTTGTGGTGCAACAGTATGTTAAGTTGATGCGGATGTCCAGAAGAACTTGAGGTAGACTCATTTTTTATTATAAGTTTGTACGTTCGTTTGTTCATTTTGAGATCTTGTGCTCAAGCAATGTGCCTGCAGGCAATTTTTGTGATATTTTAATGGAAAATTTGATTTGTCTTAATCCGCAATATTGGACTTGGCTTGCTGTTTGCTAAGCTTAAAAAAGACATTTAATGAAAGTAGTGTTGGCGCCGATTGCGGTCTGCGCTTTTGTATTTTAATTATGTAGCTTATTGGATATTGCGAGCAATAAAGATAAATCTAAAGATAAATCTTTAGCGTGGAATTTAAGTTTCTGTTAAATAGATATTAATAAATTTAGTGACCGAATTTTTATTTTTTCAAATCAGTGATTGGAGTCGGATGACGCCCCTCTAAAATTGACTTTGCATCGTTACTTATAGACATTGAAGTTAATAACAATAGGCCTCGCTTTCGACGGTGGCACTTGGTTACATGAGCTTAAATTCTTAGCTTATACTTAAGTTTATACTTACTCATACTTATTTTCTAGGAAATCTAGTGTATATTTTTGACCCTTACCATCGGAATAATGAGCAAACGCAGTAAATGAAAATAGCGTGCGGGTAAGGAATAAGGCGCCTAACTACTGCCCGGTTTTTCCGATATGTCCTACTAGTTGCAATTAGGCATTATAATAATGTAGTAGTTAGAGGCACAATTCATTTACTTATGATTAAATAACTTCTTGACATAAAAAAGGAAACTCCAATGAAGAACTTATTTAGCTTATAGCAAAATTCTGCCGTTGTGACCGGTCATTGATCGTTGGGAAAAACAATATATACCTTCTTGCCATAATTTTTAGGAGTTAGCATCAAATTTCGTATTCGTATTGTGCTAAAACAAGGTCGATAATTTACGGAAACTATTCCGAAAAATAATGTTTAAGAGGTCTCTCATATCACTTAAAAGATCACTGTCAATCTCAATTTTGATCGCCTTTTTCTCTAAAAGCCATTGGACGTACGTACTGTTAACCTTCTCAAAAGCCGGTACATTAAGATACAACAGTCTGGTTTGTTCAAACCAATCCCACAACACCGTCCCATACCATCGCGTTACTATCCACATTACGTAAGTAAGGTGTTTACGCCTATCCCCTTTTAACAGTGCCTCTTCATCATAGTCTTAATTTGGACGAAACTAAACCAAATATGGAAATAAATTCTTCGACCTGAATAAACCCTTTAAATCTCTCAATTCAGTTGACAATTCAGTTCAAGAACTAATGCAACTTGTAAAAAAAAATTTATCATTAAACTTTAACCGTACATAGAAACTTTTGCTACTTGTGATCAGTAAATAAATAAAATATATTTCTCTCTTTCTCTTTCTTTGCATTTTTAGGCAATTACGGTAGTGTCACGGATGTAAATGCTGATATAAGAGAAACCTCTTCGGATAAACGCATCATCTTTACTATAACCAGTGAATCCTCACCGGAAGGTAGTCAAATATTAACATCGAAAAAATTCGATTCCATTGTTGAAGAAGATTTAGATGGCGTAATACTAAGACCACGATTAATCGATCGGCATCAACATTTATTGCCTGTGATGTCGGCGAGTCCACGAAAAGTATTACGAAATGCCAAAAGTGTGCCACATTTCAATGTACGTCCGACTGCTAGTGAAACGGATATTTTCTCAATAACTGGATCAGGTAATCCTATAAGTATGACGCCAGAGGTCCCATCAATCTCGTACACGCATTTACCGAAAAATTACGAGGATACGCCAACGATTGAAAAATATCGTGTTTCGCAAAGTTTGTATTCAATACAAACGACAAATGCAGCTATAGCAACGAGTAGAGATGACTACTCAATGCCGCGTTATTTTCGACGTTCGGCTTTAATGTCACAAAGCAGTGAAGTGCTTGTCGATCCATCTGCTGCATCATCACGCGAAGAAATACATTCACGTCCGGAAAAAGAAAAAAGTAAACGTTTACAAAGGTTACGTGGTACACTCCCGCCATTGCTAATACATTCCGTGTCGTTTCGTAAAACTCGAGATGAAACTAAACAAGTTCATTGAGAGATAAGCAGAATAAAAAGAGCAGAAAGTCAGATTTCCTGCTGCTTGCTTTAACTTAAGTTATTTATTTAACTTTTTTGAGTATACCTTCTAAGCGATGATTAATTGTTTCCCATAAGCTGAGTAATTAATGCGAAACTTAACTTAAATGGCTGTATTTTGATTCGTACTTGGATGAAGTATTGCGCTCATATAAGTTAGATTGTATGTATGTCCATCTAAATTGAATTAACCTTAAGAAAAATGTAAATAAAACTATTTGACATCTGAAATGTTTGCAAAATTTTTAATACAAACACTTAGAAGTGTGCGTCTACTTATATTATTTAAATAGTAATTATTGTGTGGGAAAAGGCCAACCGTTAAATACCCTATACGACTTGGCTTAATACAGTTCGCCCAATAATAAAAATAAAGCCTTTTACGAAGAATGATCGAAAACCTGGCAAGATGCGAATCATTTTCAATAGCTGTTGTCCATGGGTCAAAATAAGCCCGTGTTGTGAAATTTCATCAAGATATCTGTTTAAGCTGAACATAAGAAAACGAACCCGACAGACGGGCAGACAAGCTTAGATTGGTGCAAAAACTGACTCGATCGGTATAATAAAAAGGGTGGGTCTACCTCAAGCCGTTCTGCGCATTGCTTACGTCCACACAAACTTAATATAAACGCCACATCATAAGTAGTGTTGGGTATAGAGAGCTTCCCGAAGCCATTGGAATAAATGTGGAATTGTAAATAGGAAAATAAAATATGTTACTCTTGAAAAAATTAAACTCATAATTATTTAATTAGCAGTAATTCTAGTGGGCATACAAGCGCAAAAAATGATTGACTTACTAACGGGGAAAATAACTATAAGAAAAGAAGCGGTTTTCTTGGAAATTTTTCTATAGCGGAAGGAAACATAATATAATATTGATGATATTCCACAAAATTATTAGGCAAACATTACGTGTATTGGAAGAAAAAATATTTTTGGTAAAAATTTAAAAAAATATTAAAAGTCGTCGCGTTCTTGCGAAATATCTTTGATTTGCGGGGGCCCTGCCGACGACACTTTTTTTGGCGCAAATTTGAATCTAAAGAAAAGGGACATTTAAGCTCTTCGAAGACGATGTTTTTCTTTTTTCTATTTTATCTTTTATGCCGACTATATCAACCAAATGTATACCGTAAGTGTATTGTTATAAGAATTGCATTTTTCTGTTGAAAGAATAACTTGATATCAAATTTTTCTGCTCTTTATTAATGATAGTAAGAATAATTTGAAAAAACCGAAACGTGCACATATGTGATCAGAAGTGTCAAGAGATTAACTTTAAAGACTGTAGCTAGCGGGATACATATGCATGTTTTGCAAATACTAAGTTTTGTAAAGGTGACATGAATGAAAAAGCTCAATTCGACGGTCATATTTCACTAAGGACAGATATTCAAATTAACCTACCGAAAGTCTTCTCAACAAGCAACTCCAGCCAGAGTAAAGCCTAATTCTTCAATCTTCTCCGTGCTGAGTCATTCAATCTTAATATAAAAATATCTGGGTATTCCATTTATCTTCGAGATTCTACGCAATATCGTAGGACAATCTTTGATCGCAAGTTCAACTTTGGTCGGCACGTTGGCAGTGTCTCTGCTACAGCTTTTCTTACGATCCATACAAGAATGTGCAATCTAAATCTATATCTGCCTCTAAAGGCTAAACATATCATTCTCTCCTCATGAAGCATGTTAAGCAAGTGTTAAGCAAGTGTATTGAAACCTTTTCTGGATGCCATGCATTTTGTCTACAGCGTCGAAATTAGAGACCAAATCTCCTCCTTCCTTCCCCTTATTGCATGAAGTTTAGCAATAGGATGGTAAAGAACGACTATTTAGTGCGTCAACACACAAATGATGATTGTTGCTTATCAGCAAGAGAAGAGTAATCCGCAATCAAACATTGCTGCTTATCACTTCACTTAAAGATGTCGGATTTTCGAAGCATATCGTGCATTTAAACAAACGATGCAAATTATTTGCCTCATCGCGGTCAAGTTGAAAGTTAAAATTTAACTTAACCCCACTGCAGTGTATTGCAATAAAGTGTACATTTTTATTGATTCTTTCTTTAGCAAAATTAGCAGCCAACAACGCTGATGCAATGTTTAAAAGAGAGCAAAAGATGGAACCAGCATATATGCTATGTAATGCTGTATTACTTCATTAAAAAACTAGTTGCGTTAATATTTTGAAACTTATAAGCAAATTAGCAAAAGTTCCTTTCCGGCCAGTCAACGTCGCAGTATTCGTCCTTAAATTTCGTTTCAAATACTGTTACGCTATACTACTCTACTTGTCGTCGATCTAAACTCGTCTGTCCGTCTGACTTTGTTTTTCTTTATTTCCAATCTACACGATGCACTTTTTGAGATATTCCAAAGAAATATTGCACACCGACATGTTTTGCCTTAAGAACAAACGCTATCGAAAATGGTACGGAGCGGGCGACTTTTTCGATCATTTCTCATTCAAAACGTTATTTTGAAAAGTCGTTATTTGAATAACTATATTAAGCGCAGAGCTGACGAGCAGTGTCCCACTGCAGTCTTTTTACTTATTTTGTGATCTCATACTACTCATAGTAATTTCTTTAGGTATTCAGATCTAGAGCGTCACAAAAACTGCTCATGTTATAAAATATTTAAAGAATAAATGTTGTCCTGTTTTTTTTTTTTTTTTTTGATTACATTTCGTTCTCATTTCTTCATTTATTTGATTTACATTTGCTTGCAAGCAGCAATAACACAACTGAATTTACAGTAAATCAACTACAGATAGGATCGAAATGGAAAGATTATTTTTTAAGGATGTGCCGGTAATGTGGCTAATGTGTGCAAATTTTCGAAAGCAGGGAATTCCTCACATGGATTTGAAACTGTGGAGCTTTTATTTGCGAATGTAGAAACTTTTAGTGCAGTGCAAATCGTGAGTATTTTTCACTAGCATGTCTATAGTACGGTATGGTAGTATGGAGTAGTGTTGAAGAACAACTTTTCAATCTTCTTTACCAATATAATTCTTCCATTGTTCTATAGGGAGGAGTATACCCGTTTTAACTTTGGTTTTGTTATATACTGTGATAAATAATTCTCTAGGTTAATTTTATATATAAGTGTCTTCGTAGGCATAATCTGTTCAGCAGCGGTTGTTCCATTATGTTCATGAAAGAAGCTGCAATAACGGCGATACCTATATTCTTCCAATTTACGCCGTAGGCTTCGTCGTTTAGTATTGTCGATTTGACAGCTATGGAAAATGGTCCTTTTCGCAGTCATGCATGTACGGCATATGTCTTGATTATCATTAGCATTATGCCAATAATCACCGATTGGTGTTTGGCGACATTCTGCACACACGACAATGTTATGTGGGAAACATTTTATTTCAACGTGCGGTATATATTTGTGTTCGCTACCAAAAGCTGATGAGATTTTCAATTTAAGGGTTGGTTTATCACAAGCATAAGCCGACGGTCTACGACCCAAGAAAATTAAAATTTAACAAAAATATACTTATCGAAACTAATAGCTTACGGTGGTGTCAAAAAAGTAGAATAATGCATACGTTTCGCGCCCACGTTGAACGGTTTTGGGGCCTTTTTAAAGGGTTTTGGGACTTCATCTAAGAAACCATGTCCATACTTGTTTATTCGTTGGGGTAGCAGACGTGTGCCTGCAAATGCTGAGAAGCCAAGGAGGGATGGACACTATAAAGAAATCATTGGAGCTTATTTAAGCTTTCAACGCGATTACATAGAGGATGATAGTTACTGACATCCTTGTAAGTTGTTTTAACCATATAAGCAGCTGGGCCCGGACTAAGCGGATCATCGCCTTGATGAGCGCGCATAAACGAGGATAAACATGGTCCGGAACGTGGTAGAACCAATCTGGGCAATGTGGTCCCAAAAGCTATCTTTTGCATGGTTGGCGGATTAACCACATACTGAAAATCTACGCATGAAACCTAATTATCATTACTTCTAACATTTCGGAGCGAGAATGCATACCTTCAATTTTGGAAATCTCCTCGGTAAACATTTGATAAATTTAGAAAATAAATTAACGTTACGCGAAAAGCCGCCACTAAAAATGAAAAAAAAAAATAAATATCAAAAAGTTGCAGCTATGTTTAATGCAAAGCAAATGAATATTAAACAAACTTCAAAAAGTGTTTCAAATCATTTCTGATTCTTCTTCATCTTCTGTGAGTTATGCTTGCTGAGTGAAATAAAAAAGGCTCAATGTGAAAACGAGGTTCCTTTTTTCTACCTTAATTAATAAAGTTGGCAAATAGCTTGATTGCGAATGTATACACACATATACAAATACATTGTGCGTGTTGTAATGACCGCCACCTAACTAAAACCTTTTTGGTCTTCCCCGAGCTCTGAGATTTCTATCTTCCTTTTGAATTTTTTGCGCGGAGACTCCTTTATATATATATATAATAAAATAAAAAGCTAAGAAAGGGAACAACCCTACCTCCCCTCGCAGAATTTTTCTCACTCAAAGCAGATCGTACACACTCCGACTCCACACTCCAAGTTTCTGCATTTGGCTGTTTATTATCTCTGGGTTTGTATGCTCAATCTGCGAAGTTTGGTTTGGCCACAAGGCCGCCCTATCTCTCTCGAAAGTGGGGATCTAACACTCCCCAGAGCCAGGGCTTATGTCCACACTAGAAGAGAGTATTCCTTGTTTATCCACTCCGAAAATAATTCCTTACCGATAATCAAACTCGGCGGAAATTTGAACTATGAGTCCAATTTAGAGATTTCCTTTGTTTCTAACAAAACATTAAATTGTCATATCAACTTCCGCAATGGGATTAATTATTTATTGATAACTATCTATAACTCTCATATTGAATGCATTAACGTAATTTTATATGCAAGTATCAAAACAGCAAAAACAGATGAAATTATTTAAAAACAATATTGCAGCCAAATAATACAGAAACATAAGGTGCTCAGACGTTTATTTCGATCTCTAATCAAACGCGAAATTCCTTCTGTTTAACACATAACATATTTAATCTTATGAAAAACTTAACGTTCCTTTATTCATTTAAATTATATTTGAATAATAAATAAATTTTAATGACTTAAAACATTAATAAGCTTCCCCTTCTTTTTTTGCTTTTTGTCCAGAAAGCACATCACAACGATATCTGCGATTTTCAAGCTCTATCCGTCGAAACTATATTATTGTCTCAACAACTACGCCAGTCAAGCTTACATGTCCAGAGATTGTCCTTAATTTATATGACTCCTGTAATTATATACGAAAGGGTGCCATTGTGGTGTGTTTTCATTGAAATTTGATTGATATTACACGAATCTCGCTTTAATGTGCTTTTCTTTAATTTTATTTGTCAATTCTATTTCTTTTTCTCATCTTCTTGTGAATATTTCGCAAAGGTTAAATTTACCAAACAAACTCTAATGCAATATTTCCGCGCCTATGCACGGAAACAATTTAAGCTGTCTTGACAACAAGTAAAACTATACTCAGGTTTATAGTTAAATGCGTATAAAATTTTGTAAACAAAATTCTGACACAACGCATACAACTGAGTAAATAACAACAAATATTCTAAGAAATTTTATTTTAAAATTTTCAGGAGAAATTTAAAATTTATGAAATCAATGACTGCAACGCAATCGAGACATCAATTTATTATCACTGACTTGGATCAATCGGACACTCAAGAAATGGGGGCAGCAGCAGCATCAACATCGGTAGACCTTAGGAATGAAAAACAATGCAAAACGCATAAAGCGTCTTTCCCTTTGTCCGTCTGCGCCTTTTGTTTCTTTTATCCAACCTAAAGGTCGCAATTTTTCAGAGATTTTGATGACGGATTTTTGATCAAAAGAAAATGACATTTTCATTTATTGCGAAAAACGTAACATCGTCCTAAATTGAAAAAGTAAGTGCAAGCCGGTAATTCCGCAAATGTCAAAGACTTCGGGTGAGTAATGGTTTGTCTGCATGCTTCACACTTGACATCCATAGCATGTTCCGAAGTTATGTAATCGCTTAACAATTGACGTCATTGAAACATTATTATGCCAAAGGAACAACTACATAATTACTTTAATTGGAAGAGTACGATCAGGTCTGAAAGTGAAAGTGAACATAACTCGAAAGTGCTTTCTCCAATTTTTTCCTCTTAGCAACGATTGTATAACATATCCAAGCACATTCGGCGATTTTCTCCACTGCTGCAAGATCCTCTTGTCCGGAAAAAGTCAACCCGTTCCACAATGGTCGCCTGTATTCGCGTCCCTATTTCCGGATCCGGCATATGCTGCTCCATAATGGAGTATAAGATGTCGAAGGCGCTGTGGAATGCTGCATATACTTCTTCTTTAGGGAACTTCTCCTCTAGGTACTCACTTGTCAGGATGTCATTGTCTTTTTTGTCCTGGCTGACAATGTCATCGTCCACTTCCTCGCACGCCTTTTCCTTCCTCATGGTCAGGTCGTCGAGACATGGGTGGCATCTTAGCTGATGACGGACGTATTGAGCTATTACATAACCCGTGAGCAGTCGCAAGTAGTCCTCATGCTTTGCATTTAGTTGGCCAGTCACCACCATCCCATCCAGGCCGAATGGTCGGAACTCTTCTTCGGTCTCTACTGGAATCAGGTAATACAACTTCTCTATTAGGTGGTACTCGAGAGTTGTCGTATCTCCGCTTCCCCAAAATTGCGTCTGCGAATTGATCAACCGTTTCGAAAGTTTTTAGATGTGCACCTCTCAGCTTCCTCCTGGACTTCGGGCTTATGTGCCTATTTCTCTGCTCTTCTAGTGCCTCGACATCCGGCACTACGCTGTCAGCTTCCTCTTGGACTTCGTGTTGAATGCGCCTTTTTCTCTGCCTCCGTTGATGTTAACGGCCCCTCGTCGTACATATTATAACTGCTACTATGAGTGCTATATATATTATTATAACTATAGGAACTAGCAGATTAATTGGCGTCTGTTCCCCCGTCATTTCCTCTATAAGTTCCTCCATTATTTCCTCTACCAGTTCCTCCGTCATTTGCTCTAACAGTTTCTCAATCATTTCGTCTATCTGTTCCTTAGTCATTTCCTGTAAATGCGGTAAGATTCGCTTGTCCATTACGTCCGTGGGAAAACATCATTTTAATTCATAACAATTTGGAATATATTAGATTCCTACGTACGGAAGGAATATACAATTTAATTCACAATATAAATATTGAAGAATTCACAATATAATGTTAAGGTGAAAAAATCACCAGATAGCGAACAGGCATCACACCTAACTACGGCATACAATAGTATTACGACATTCTAAATTAATCTGAAAACATTGAATCGGCATTGGAGTTTTTTGAGCATGGATATATAGAATATATATATATTGAATTTCACCCAGAATTTATTGAATAAAATTACCACTAGTACTACTTACTACTACTACTATCCTGGGATGCGTAATTTCTGTTTCCAACGAATATATATTGCAAGTTTCTTAAAACAATTTCCATTTCGAGAAACGTTGAATCAACACTCCCCTGGATGCCTGCTTCAGTTCCGTTTTGCATTTCATGGTAATGAAAAATGTTGCTTTCTAAGAATGTTTAGTTGGCAGTTTGCTACCATTTATTTCATGTCCAAAGTAATACTAAAAAGCTCTTCGCCTTATCCGCCTTAACTGTTTACTCATCAATCACATATTTCATTTCATCTAATTCTTCTTAAATCTCAGAACCAACTTCGACATCTCGAGGCCTGACTGAAAGCGTTTGTGCCCCATAAAAGTCGCTTTTTAACGTTAGCAAAGCTTCACTGCACTAATGTTCGTTTTAAGACAACGTTTTTAAAACCTTTCTAATAAGTTTTAGAGAAAATCTTCCAAAAATACAAAAGAAGATTATTTATTCGCTTGCAAACTAATCGTACCAATTGCATATAGATTGTTACATATATTACTGGCAGTAATAGCATATTGCACTAGAAAGAAACAGCTCGGTATTTAAATTAAGCAAGTAATTTGGAAATTCTCATTGGCTTTAGATCAAGCCATATATTTCATTAGCTTGCTTTATACGATGGAATTGCGTAAATAAATTAAGACATCATTTTATATAATATTACGTCTACCGAAAAGTTCTGTTCGTTTCTAAAATCCTAATTTCCGGATATGATCCGAAATGGTTTATTGAACTGCATCAAGTATTTCCGCAGTCTCCGAACTTGGCCAAAAAGAAATTCGAAATAGTAAAGAAAAAACATCTCTACCTAAAAATAGTACACAAAATAATATTTTTATAAATAAAATCCTAGCACAATCAGCTAAAAAAGTCAAAGTAAAACCCCCTCTTCTATACTCAACATTAAACCCTGATGCTAATTCTGATTCTCCTTCAGCAAAATCAAATGGAGTTCGATTAGTTTCAGCCAATGAAATTCTAAATCATACTAAAGATACAGGAAATATAATAAAAAAAAAAATCAAATGAATAATTGATACTTATAAAATAATAATATATTATAACTTCCAATTAAAAAAATAAATCTCAATAAAATTAACGCCAATCTTACTTCATATGAAATATTTTGATCAACTGCACGTAATCCTCCTAATAAAGCATAATTAGAATTAGACGACTATCCTGCTACTATAACTTTGTACCCCTAAGCTTGTACAACACAAAAAAAATATTAAACCTAAATTAAAAGAAAATAATTTAACAAATATAGGCATACAAAGTCAAACTAATAAAGATAAAAATAAAGAAAAAATTGGAGAGAAATAATAACAAATATAATTAGATATTAAAGGACAAGTTTGTTCATTAGTAAATAATTGAAGAGCATCTCTAAAAGGTTGTGGAATTCAGCAAACTCGTCTTTATTTGGGCTCTTATGAGTTTGAATATAACCTAATTATTTTTGCTCTAAAATATGCTACTTAAAAATGCTACTCTTACTAAAAAATAAATAATTAATAACAATCTTAACAATAAACAAAATAACTTGAAAAAAATACAATACCAGT